TCTGCATTGCACAGAGTGGGTCCTGGGATGCCATACTTCCTGGGGGCTCTTATGTTTCCAGGATTCATTCCCGTTACACAGTTGGCCATGACTCTGGAAAAGTCTCTATATTCTGCTTTCCAAAACACAAGGCATGTGTTTTATTTGGGGGATGTGGTATGCAAAAAAACCCCCCAGCAGTCAGCAGCTAATTTGGGAAATGCTCTCATCTGCAGCTACTCTTCCATTGTACTGATGGGAGCTCTCTTAGGAAAAAACCTCTTATATTGTTGTTTCCTGAGCCTTTTTTCACTACCAAGTGGGATTTACAATAGTAGGTAAATAATGGCCCATACTCTGTAGACAATTTTGAAAGTGAAAAGGATGAAAATAAATACAAACAATATTTACAATTATATTTTGCCTTATGATTCCCATGACTAAATCATAACTCAGGACAAGGGGCTCTCACATTTCAAGTTATAAGCAGTAATAGGAGGCCTGAAGCATAGAACAGAATGACCCAAGTTGCAACTTTTTATAGAAAATTAAAGAAAATTTAATGGCTATTGAAACTACAGGGTTGGATTACACTTATATCTACACACAGCAACTGTACACACAGCACTCCAGAGACCTGTAGCTGAAAAGGAACAGCACGAAGCTTGACATGGAAAATGTACTAAACAAATGGATCAGCAACAACTGCTGAAAGAAACTGGATGCCAGAATCTGGCACAGTTTCTCCCCACCCAGTGAACCATTTCTACTTGTGCCTTTTGCTGGGCTTCTGAGAGAAGAGCGTTTTCTACCCTTTACAGAGAAAGGTCACAGTGATTTATAATTAAAAATGAATTTTCTAATGAAATACATCTAACTTATAGAAAAAGATAAGGCAGCAAGCAATATTCCTTGGTTGGTTTCAGGCTAAGACTGCTTTATAGTCTGGTGCTATGAGAAGCAGGAGTTAGTTGCAGCTTTGCTACTGATGCATTGCTACAAGGTGGATAAGCAAGATTGATCCCAATTTATCCAATTAAATACAGGGAGGAGATGTGAATTGTATGGCATCTCTTCACCTTAATGGCATCTAGGGAGGGGAAGAGTCAAAGTGGTATTAACGAGATTTTAGGGTTTTTTGAGGCAGTCCACTTGAAGTTAACAAGCATCATTCTTTAACTTAAGTGGAGCAAGCTATTGTCATTTAAAGTCCATGTGGTACAAGTGCAGGTTTATAAGCAGGCTGGGGTAGCATTAACTAGGCACCAACTATGCTTGGCCCCTGACCTGATCCTTCAGGAAGGCAAAGTCTCTCAATGCAGGCTCTGCAGAAGCAAAAGAACACCACATGGTCAGATGCTGGCAGCACTGTGATAGTTTGTAAGAAGTTAGGGCTGTCACAGCATGCATCTTGTTACGCTGGGTTATGCTGTAAAGTCCAGCCAGAGGAGTAGGATGGTTGTCAGTGATTATCAGCTGAGCAGTGAAACAAAGGAGCCATCCAAAGCAGAAGACAGAATTCAGAATAGGTGGTAAGTTAGGATTTAAACCTTCTTTCCTTTGAGATATAAAAATTAAGACTTTTTTTGTCCAAAGTGGGACGGGCTGAATCAGTTACGTTAATCACACTGGTCCTGATTACATAACATGCTCCCCTCCCATGCACCTTGCAGACAGGTAGGGTTCTATAATGGGATGACAACTCTGTTTCCTCACTGCCTAGACTCAGAGCTGCTGTTGGCAGCAGTAAAGAGTCATTTTTATCAGCTGAGAACTGATCCCACGAATCATAAACACCCAACAATGGACACACTCCTGCCTTGGCTCAGGAAGTTTTACTATTGCTAACCCATGAATGTTACAGACCATTCCAAAGAGGCTAAATCCTCTTTAGAGCATTCTGGGTTCTCAATTAAAGTATTGCTAACACCTGCTTGCATCACAAACCCAGGCCTAATTCTAAGCTGCCAAAACTCAAATGAAGGCTGGGAGATAAAGCTTCCTATACAGCTGCTTTAGAGAGAGGAATATCTTTGCTATAAATAGCTTTTGCTAATCTTAGTTCCATCATTTTAAAAAAAGGGAAAATGGTAATTTGGGTCTCAAACAATGAGATGTCTCAGTAGTACTGGATAGCCGAGACTTACACGTTAATCAGAAGTAAAATATATGATTTAAATATAACACTATTAAGTATACAAAAACCTGTCTGTGCACTGGTGCACTAACTAGCAAGTCAATATCTATTTTAATTGCAGGGCCCCCTTCAAATGCAGAGGTGACAAGGCCTCTGTTTATGTTCATTCAAAAAGTCTTCTCCATAAATATGCAGTTACTTGTATGTTAAGGTGCTTTAGGCTTAGGATTACCCTGAGTACATCTGCTGCCAGAATGTGATGTTCTGGCCAGAAACTATGCTGTTCACAGGTGGTAGATTAGGCTGGATCAGATGGGTCAGATGACATCACTTTCTGTCCAGCTCAGGCTGATACTTCCTGGCAATTAGTTTGAGCTGCTGTTTGGTCTCCCAGCGATTCAGGGAGGCTTGGCTAGGAAGTTTCATTGCTTCTTCCTTCTCTGCCTGTTAAAAGGATACAACATGCAAGCAGAGTTATTCCCCAGAAAAGAACCATTCTGCACATCCAACAGAGATATTTCAACCGCTCAAGGTATGTCTTTAGAGACAGCTTAAATAGTAATGCAGGGATAGCTCCCTTTATAACAAGTCTCTTAGATCTCTACATAAATAAGGTTTTGTATTGTTTTTCCAAAAAGGAGTCTGTTAAAAAAAACGGAGGGCAAGGGACTGTATAGTTGTGGAAAAAGAAGTCCAAAAGGAAGGCACTGATTTTCAGTAGCGTTATTAGGGAAAAGAGCACCAGACAGAAATATAGCATCTATGGCAGAGTGGAGAAACAAGTCCCTTGTAGTTCCTTTCCTGTTCCGAACATATCCCCATGTGGATGTATTTTACCTACTAAATAAGGCATGCTACTTGCATCCATAAGCAAGAGGTCAGTGAACAAGCTACACACTTGAATGAGGCTGACTTTGACCATTTGTTTTTCTTGTGGTAATGAGATGATTGATGGAACAACAGGGAGCTTAAAAAACCAAAATTCTGTTAGTCAGCTTTAACACAATCAAAAAATGAAACTTATTCTAATTTGGCTCTTTTTTCCATTAGAGGTGGGGAAGTTCTTTTTGTTTGGAAATAACAACTCTCTTAGTCTACAATTCTAGTGGGGTAGAATCCTTTTAAATTCTCCAGAAAATATCTATACAGATTAGGTATATCCAAACACAGGAGTGTTGGTTTTTGTCTGACATAAGTAACTGCCACTGCAGAGAGGGCACCTGCTATTACTTTCCCTAAGCTATTACCAGTACTTGCTTCTCTGTAGAGAACACTTGTTCCTAGTGATTATTAGTACCATTGTTTCCCAGCCACATCTACTGTCTGATTCTCTTCAAGCTGCTCTGCCTTGAAGAGATGCAATTTACTTATTTACCTCCTTTCCATAACTATTTTCATTAGGGATCTTCAGCTGATGGTTTTTTACTGGCTCTAGCTGCAGTCTGTCAAACTTAAATTTGAACCAGCGATGAGCTTCCTCCAGGTTAGCTGTGATCTGAGAAAGAAAACCATAATAGTAACTAGAGTCAGAAAGACAACCAGTAGCAAGATCAAGTTTTGCGCTCCATATTGGAGGCAGAATTCCAGCTCTGATCCCTGTATATGTAAGTACATATCACAACACTTGGACAGCTTTTCCTCTTGGTCCTGTATCACTGAAGGGGATGGTACAGTGGTACATTATGCTGCTGTTATGCCCTTACTAAGTTACTAATGAGACTCTTGCTGGGACTGGCCAAGAAAAAGACAGGGCTAAGAAGAAGGAAAAAGCATCTAAAACAAGGTGGAGAAGAGAAGAAAATAGAGGCCAAATACAGAAAACCTCTGAGGAATGATTTGAGAACCAGGCCCTCGAATGGAAATGTTCTGATACAAGAAACATTAAAAAAAAAAGAAGATGAATACTATAATATTCTTATAGTCCCTGTTGTACCTCTTGAATTATGAAGGCCTTTTGCTCTGAACAGACCTATAAACAAATGCTATAAAATAGTGCAGAGTAGTGGCTAGTATGCCACAGGTTAAGCACTGATCCTCACCAAGTGCTGTTCTGATCCTCCCCTCCCCACCCAGAACACCTGATGGAGTTTGTGTCCTAGGGCATTGGCAAGTGGGGGACAAGACAGGGGCAGGATGCTCTTGGAAGAGGTGTCACCACCAAAAGCCAGCTTAATTCTTCTCTGGCTCTTCAACGATTGCAGTTTTATATGGCAAGCAAGGATCCAAAGCCCATTTTTGGATGGTAGCTGCAGGACCAGGGGAGGTTAAAGCTGTCTCTTGGTGGTGACACCTGACATTTCCTCTTGCAGAAGTGCTTCCCTTTGAGTGCCTGGGGCTCACGTGCCACACACAGTAGATGTCTGTGCCACTTATGGCCCATGTGCCATGAACTGCGGGGACCACACTAGGTATCCTTTTGTAAAACAAACATCAGTGCAACAATGTTTCACTTGATCTGAATCTGATTGCATCTTCAAGAAGATGTGATTTGGTGTGACATCATTCAAAATGACATAACAGCAGCTCACAGAGGAAGTCTGTTAACAAATTAATAGATTTACATTGATATCAGCTGCTGAAAC